ACAATTATACTCTAAATATAAATGATATACATAAAAAATTGTCTTACCATGGTGAAAAAGAACCACTATATATATATATTTCTTATATACAAGATATATACACTATAGGTACAGTCATCCGCCACCGCCAATAGGTAAGAACGGTAAGAAGAGATTTGGCCAAAACGGTGCCAAAACGGCACCAGTTCTGTTAATCACGTGAGAATGGGCGTCCTCCCATCTCATTATATCGCTTTACTTGCAGGAATTTGGCGACTAGGTGCAGATTATTGAATGTTTTCAGTTATAACTTTTTCTTTTTATGTTATATTGTTAACAGATATAAACAATTGGTAATGGGGACACATTGCATTTGTGGGCTCAGTATAATTATGCATTCGAAATACTACTTCTAAATAGTTGAATACGTGCCTAAAAACCGTGGAAGTCAACGAAAGCTCATATTTGGAATGAATATAAGCTTACCTAATTGGTTGAAAGCTCTGCTTATGGAAAATAGGCTAAACCAATTAATGTAAACTGATTGTAAACTTGAATTATTGAATGTAAACTGAATGTAAACTGAATGTAAACTTGAATTATTAAATGTAAACTGAATGTAAACTTTAATTATTGAATGTAAACTTGCATTATTCGGTGCTTTTAAAAAATATGATACCAAAATGTGTAATTTGGTAAAAAGAGTTATGGCATATATATAGTGCTAGCCGGACAAACCTGGCCCTATCCGATACTCAGACATGATATACCGATGTGATATCGTCACAGTAATGAAGCTTAGCCGATTTACACTTTGGATTAAGGTCAAGGGTTAAAAACCGAATTATAAAAAATATAAGCATCCCTCACTAGTAATCTTAGTTTTCTTGTTGGAAGGCTTATGATAGTCAAGGACAAAATTTATCATTTGCAAATAATCGATTTGCTCATGAGACATTTTTTTTTCATACGCATGAAATGAACGAGCGAGGGTGGCATCTTTTTCAATGCTTTTTAATAGCTTGTCAAAAAATATAATGCCCAAAGTAGTAATTGGTGAAAAGACCTAACCCTACAAATCTAGCCCTGCCGTTCCCCGGATGTGATATCGTCACGGTTGGGATATCAAATCCGTTAATCATATAATGCATTGCGTTGTCGACTTATAGAAAGGCGTAAAGTCTTTCTTATTTAATTTTGATGATTCAAGTCAAATAATAAGCTCTTATTGTATCAAGAATGTACAATGATAGATATTATGCTTACTTATTATTTCATCAGATGCTTCTGATGAAAACTTTCTTGTATGAAATAGAGAGGACAGGTGAACGGAAATATCGTTCAGCTCTGAATTCACCTAATTATATAATCAAGTAAATTGCCTAAACTACTATTAGTATGTTGATAAAGCCAGAGAGTTTATGAATGCACGAGTTCAAATATTGCAAGATAGATAAAAAAAAAAACCTAGCCAGAAATATAGTAGAAACATATACATGAGAAATAATAGGAAATACCGTATGCGACGACTTGCAGACACCAAAATATTTTAGGTGGCCCTCCTCGTTATTTACTGGAGTAAAGTGAGTTGAAAAGCACAATCACAGAGTCACATCAAGTACAAACGGTTGAGCATGATAATATTGATCGTGGTGGAAAGGGTAGGAGAGAACTGACTTATTGGTCGAGGGGGTGGGGAGGCAACTGTTGGGGTTGAGATTACAATCGCAGCAACGCCTTAGGCGCAAGTTCCACAGATAATCTGAAGAAAATTGTTAAAATAATATTGATTTGGTGCAATTTGTCACATATTCCACAGCTCGAGGCTTCGGCCCTTAAATCAAGCTTATATTCATGGTATTAGCGAGCCTTGCTAGTAATTTGCATATTACATTGTACATACTGCTTATTATCACACAATATCCACCAGCTTCGTGATTATATCTCTAGATTGCATACTGGCAAGAGATCTATTTAGAACTAGAAGATTCCTTCATGAATTCTACCGTTTAAAATATTTAATAGAAGTCTGTCAACACTTGAGCTAAATATCTACTTCAATAATTTAGAACTTTAAGCCAAAATATTTTCATGTTTTGTACCTATCTATAATTATCTTGGCAACAGATGGATACGTGCTAGTAACTAGTCCGAAACATATGCCTCTCTTCCAGCTTCTGATAGATATTTTGACAGTTGTTATGGCTGACAACTCAACTTTCCAAATAGCTGGAATGAAGGCAGATGTTTCGGACTAGCTATAAACTAACTTCTCGTCGTTTCAATGTTATAATGACGTCACTTTACCCGCCCCCTATAATACACAACTCATCGTGGTAGAACTCGCCATTTATCATATTAGGTTTTAAAAAATCGTCGATGGCTCATCTAGTAATTGAATCATTTTGTATTAGACATCCTGCTAAATAGTAACATGAATTGATTATTATAGCTCTTTGAAAACGATGAGCAAACAATGACGAACCATCAGTTGAGAGTGGCCTCAGGTGTTCCGGAGGGGTGAACATGCCTTGATTGTCAATATGATTTTCAAAAAAAATATCATCAAATAGAGTTATCTCTTCGCGCAATTAGGTACTTCACCAAAAAAAGTGTTCAATTTTGTCGTATTTGAGTCACAGTTGGAGATTAATCACACCTGTTTAGTGCCTACATATAAATGACAACAAGTTTAGTGTCCTTTTTAAAGGGACAGGTGTGTCATTTAGGGGGCTGATTTTTGTCTTGAATATATTATGTAAGTAATCTTCAGAAATACTTGAATGTAAGAAAATCACATTTTTCATTTAAAAATACTTCAAACTAGGAATGTTAATCACTATATCTATATATGTATTTTCTATATATGACATAGTATCTTAAATTGACGAGTCGTCATGAAAACATTAACACGCAGATAATTCTGGACACACTTGAATTTGAAGGCTCAAATTTCGACGATGGGCTGTGAACACTATTACTGAATAACTCAGCTAAAAAATTCAAGTTTCTGAGACAAAAGTATTATTGGTCATAAAAATGGCCTACCCGTCTCTTTAAAAATAGGCCTACATGTATTTTTGATGGAACGTCCTTCTAAGAAGGACATCTGTGGGGACAAACATAAATTTTACAATCGAAATAAAGCTGGGCTTAAGGTTACCTCGGACACATTTGGAAATAATAAAGAAACGTAGAAATGAGATCAATTTTACTCCTGCTGTGTTTATCTTTCTGTTAACCAAATGGTTTAGCAATGAAGAGGTATTCAGTAGTCCACACGTGTTGAGTTTGCGGCGCCAGTGAGGGTACAAAGGGGGGGGGGGGGGGCATTTAACTCCCCAAAGAAATCAGTATGTCGGCAACGCCTATTTGTACCCATAGACATACGGACCGAAGATCTGTTTGTGAGGAAGTGGGCGGACTGGTTTGTCCGAAATTTTCCCCATAATTTTACCTGAATTGTTCTTTGTATTTAGGTTCTTACCTGATATTTTTTTCTGTGGCTACCCTACCTGTCGACCAACCGACCCACCGTCTCCTACGCTTATGTTTGTAGGTCTACCCCACCTGTTTTCTTCAAAATTCAAAAAATAATATTTTATTGGAATTCGTAACGAAATGTGTGGAAGAATGAATCGAATAGTTTCAATTTTTTTTCTCTTGGGGGATAACCTTCTCAGACACCTCGTAAGCATCTGCGTTTGTAATCTGAACAATTATTGCCCACCCCTTACCCACCCACCCCTATTTATATCTCAACATACTGACGCCGCCACTGCACGTGTTATTCAGAAACTGGAAGAACCCGCCATCTATTTGTCTTGATCGACTCTTCGTCTCTATCTATATTCATCTACTAGTATTATAGCTATCTATAGTTCACAGTTAATGACCCACAAATCTTTCCACATGAGGGCCAAACGACTTCGTATATGATATAGTATTTACTGGCTTGCCTCGTCAGAGATTTAGTTCGACAAATTAATCATTGGCGGCTTCGGTAATTTAAATTAAAGGGGGGCGCCGGAAAAGTTTTTGAAATTATTTTAAGTAGGGTCAGGAGATAATTTAGCCACTCATGGAGTTTCCATTGCTAAAAATGGATTTATTTTGGGTAAGAGGTGACGGTAAAAACTATAAGTCTAGGCCTAGCCCCTGTGGGGTTATAAGGGATTCCCCCCCCCCCCCCCCCCCCCCCTCTTATCCATCATAAGAACCAATATGCGACTGACCTAATACCATAGACCCTGCTATTTCTACGTAGGAACGGCACGTATTTTCGTTTGACATATACCATTGACATCACTGGTTGCGAAATATTTGATTAAATAATTAACCTAATAAGTCCTAACCATTAATCAAAATCTGGTGTCATATACACAGATGGGAGTCAACAAAATCAAAGGATAGGCTTACATCAAAATCTTGGTTCGTGCTCCATGTCGGACAAATAATAAAATTTTAAAAGTCAAGTTGTGGACGACGAACGTGGCTGGTTTTCGGAACTATGACGGTAAGATACGTTTCTAAATGCCTGCTGTGGATATTTGATGGTTTTACGAAGAACATGGTGCGGGGTTGTTGCGAGGTTGATTCTCCACAATGACAAATCATTGCAAACTTTGTCTTATACCTTGACTGCACCAGCTACCTTTCTTGTGTGAAAGGCGTTTGACTAGATTGTACGATAGCGAATGCAGTCAATCAGAGGCGTAGGCCTAATGTAAGCCATACTGTTTACATTATTTCTGTCGAGGGCTCTGATTGGTTGTATTCGCTTACGTACAGTCTAATCGAATCGTTGCATTATGTGACACAAACTTTGCGACCTTAAAAAGAGGCCCATGGTGATAAGCCTAATGTTGTGGAAAAGAAGATTTTTTTTAAAACGACTTGTTTCGATTGCTGGTTATTTGAGTAACATATTAAAGAAAAATATTACTGTGATGTCCCGATTGAAATAAACCGGAAGTGAATTTCTAAACAAGGAAAGATAATTCTGTACATAATAACAAAGAGAAGAAAATTAGTCAGTGAGTTCAACATATTTGCTTATTTTTATCATAAATTTATTATCAGAAATCTATGAGTGGTCTATCCCTGTGTTATTTCGTTTACTTACAGTAAGCTTACACATTTTATCTCGATATAGAATCAGAATGCATTAGTTATTTCTTAATACATTTTGGACAGGCATGAAACAAGATCATGGACAAAAAACAACGTTGAAGACAATATTCCAGAAATCTTTTAAAGTTTAGGACAGTCAGTATGTTGCTGATGGTTCTCCACTGCCCTGACAAAATTTGATCATTACACACTACTCCTTAGCGTTACCTATTTTTTTTTAATCAGGAGTAAAAGATAGGAATTTCATTTTGCAAAAGTTGCCGATGCCTCCTCCGATGCCTCATCCGATGCCTCATTAGTCTAGAGAAAGTCTAGTGCCAAAGGGGTTTGAGATGGCATAATCCCTTCAGTCATCATTTTAGCTTTAAAACGCAGATAATTCTGAACACACATGCCATGGAAAGCTGAAATTTCGACCAAGAGCTGTGAATGCTTGAACTGATTAGTCCAACAAATGGCGAATTTTCCCTTTAATTCAATATATGATGTCTATTTAACTGTACCATTTTGTTATATGTTTCCTTTTGTATTCAAGGTAACGATATTGTAATTGTAAACAAATCATGGCATTGTCACTAGACGATAAGTTACTAGGTGAGAAAGTAGACTATTATTGTAGTAGTAGTGAAGATGAAGATGGGGACGGTAAACCTACTAATAAAGAAAGACTACCAGAAATAAAACCACCAGATACCACCTATCCTGGCTACTGTACAAATGTAAGTAGGAACTAGCATCTTTCTATCAAAGCTACTGTACAATTTTAAATAGGAATTAGTATCTGTCCTGTCTACTGTACAATTTTAAATAGGAATTAGTATCTATCCTGTCTACTGTACAATTTTGAATAGGAATTAGTATCTATCCTGACTATCTTGGCTTCTGTACAAATGTAAGTACGAACTAACATCTTTCTATCCAAGCTACTGTACAATTTAAAATAGGAATTAGTATCTATCCTGTCTTCTGTACAATTTTGAATAGGAATTAGTATCTATCCTGGCTAACTTGGCTTCTGTACAAATGTAAGTACGAACTAGCATCCTTCTATCCAAGCTACTGTACAATTTTAAATAGGATTTAGTATCTATCCTGGCTTCTGTACAAATGTAAGTAGGAACTAGTATCTATCTTGGATATCGTGGCTTCTATACAGATGTAAGTAGGAATTAGTATCTATCCCGGCTACTGTACAAATGTAAGTTGGAACTAGTATATATCCTGGCTTCTGTACAAATTTAAGTAGGAACTAGTATCTATCCTGCCTACTTTACAAATGTAAGTAGGAATTAGTATCTATCCTGGCTTCTGTACAAATGTAAGTAGGAATTAGTATCTATCCCGGCTACTGTACAAATGTAAGTTGGAACTAGTATATATCCTGGCTTCTGTACAAATTTAAGTAGGAACTAGTATCTATCCTGGCTACTTTACAAATGTAAGTAGGAATTAGTATCTATCCTGGCTTCTGTACAAATGTAAGTAGGAATTAGTATCTATCCCGGCTACTGTACAAATGTAAGCTGGAACTAGTATATATCCTGGCTTCTGTACAAATTTAAGTAGGAACTAGTATCTATCCTGGCTACTTTACAAATGTAAGTAGGAATTAGTATCTATCCTGGCTTCTGTACAAATGTAAGTAGGAACTAGTATCTATCCTGGCTTCTGTACAAATGTAAGTAGGAATTAGCATCTATCCTGGCTACTGTACAAATGTAAGTAGGAATTAGCATCTATCCTGGCTACTTTACAAATGTAAGTTGGAACTGAATCTTACAAAAGGAAATTGTCGTTTCTTACCGGGTTCAATTTACATTGAAAATTTAGGATAACCAAAAAATTGAAATTTTAAATAATGAGATGTAATGGATCCAGCTATTTACAGATTGATTATTTTTGGACATGATATTTTATAGACTGGCCCGAAAGGTGTATTAACAGACTGGAGAGAGTACAAGAGATTAGAAACAGAGAAAAGAGAAAATCAGGAAAAAGAGAGACAAGCATTAGCTAAAAAATTAACTTTAACTTGTAGATCTCATGTAAGTATAGATATGGTTTTCAATTAACCTAGGGCTAAGTAATATTGGTTCAAATTGATATCATGATATTAAGCATTACTACATCATGATATGGGTATAATTGTTAGATCAAACAATAAATTTCTTTCTAAACACCTTTCTTGAATATCATGTCTGTTTGAGATATTGATCTACTTTTTAGAAAGAGGTATACCATATACCACAATAACTACCATATTTCACGATATTTCAGTATTTTTGAATCAGACAATATTACTAACAATATAAATTCCTATACCAGTATTTATCATGATACCTGTGTATCACCCAGCCCAGCCCTAAATTAGCCCTTGGATTCCCTGTCCATTTTAATGCTTTGAAAACTGACGTCTGTGTGGTAGAAGACTAAGGAAACAGTCACACTAACCTAACCTAGAGGTCTAAGGTACAATCAAGATGTATGGGAAGAGATTATGCCTTCAACCAAGTTACCTCCTGCCTTTGAAGTGACTGTCATTGAAAATGCATCCAGCTGTTACAATGAAATTCAGAAATTTAGATATTTGAAACAGAGTTACCCCATGAGACCTCCGATACTTTAAGGTCTTATTGATCCAGTCGACCCAGCTGTTAATAGTTACAGCTAATCCAGGAAAGATCAATGTCGAGATATTTTTCCAAGGACTAGCCGGTAGAAAGGATTTCCATGAGTCTAGGTTGTTATCCTTGTAATCTATAGTTGTTTCTTTCTTAAAGTTGGATGATGAAGCTGAGAAAGAGAAAGATGAAGATTTTTTAAAAGAACTGGAAGAGTTAGAAGATGAGTTTATCAAAGAATATAGATTAAAACGGTTAGAAGAAATGAGGAAAGCTTTAGATAATGTGTAAGTAAATCTTAATAGTCACAATCTGATCTGGATGGTTTGTTTCTTGTCTTTTCAGATGGTTTATACACTTGCAATCCATGATCTGGCGACTTTCTTATTTAAATTGTGTTCTGTAGGATCAAAATTTATGCTTGATAATCAAACATTCATCAACTGTTCTCTCCTTCATTTTCCAAACTTATTTACAGTTACAGATATATATTCACAGGTTTCAATACACTGACTGAAATTAGAACCCATGACCTTCAATTTATTTTTCAGCCCTAAATTTGGTAGAGTAGTAGAACTTACATCTGATAGTTTTGTTGAAGCTGTAGATAAAGAGAAGCCAGGTGTAACTGTTATTGTTCATTTATTTGAAAATGTAAGTAGAAAAATTGGAATGAAAAATGAGTAATGGTTTGCAATGATGATATTATGAATGAGCTTTGACAGTCAGAATGATCCAGGACCTTCTCAAATAGGAAAGACCTTTGACACCTGATATTCAGAATGATTCATGACACCTGATATTAAGAATGATTCATGACCTCTGATATTAATAATGATTCATGACCTCTGATATTAAGAATGATTATTGACCTCTGATGTTAAGAATGATTCGTGACCTCTGATATTAAGAATGATTCATGACCTCTGATATTAAGAATGATTCATGACCTCTGATATTAAGTATGATTCATGACCTTTGATATTAAGAATGATTCATGACCTCTGATATTAAGAATGATTCATGACCTCGGATATTAAGAATGATTCATGACCTCTAATATTAGGAATGATTCATGACCTCTGATATTAAGAATGATTCATGACACTTGATATTAAGAATGAACCATGACCTCTGATATTAAGAATGATTCATGACCTCTAATGTTAAGCATGATTAAGGACCTCTGATGTTAAGCATGATTCATGACCTCTGATGTCAAGCATTATCCATGACCTCTGATATTAAGAATGATTCATGACAGCTGACATTGATAATAATTCATGAACTCTGATATTAAGAATGAATTATCACCTCCGATATTAAGAATGATTCATGACCTCTGATATTAAGAATGATTCATGACAGCTGACATTGATAATGATTCATGAACTCTGATATTAAGAATGAATCATGACCTCCGATATTACGAATGATCGATGAATTCTAGAAATGAGAAGTTTATTATTATTTAAAATTGTTTTTAGAATGTTGAAGCTTGTGAAGCTATGAATGGATGTTTGTTATGTTTAGCTCAAGAATATCCTACATTTAAATTTTGTAAATTAAAAGCATCAGAAGCTAAACTGAGTAGTAAATTTGTAAGTAATGTTTTGTATTAGTATACTTTTATAGTGTTTTTAGTCATCATTAGAATAGAAAATTCTAGTTTGTAAACGCTCTAAAAATTAGATTTTTTGATGGAATCAAATGAAATTCGATATGTGTGTACATATTCATGAAATGAAGATCAAGTTCAAATTTGAGCTCTTTTTGACCGTTAGAAGCAAAGTTATTGCCCTTGCCCAAAAATCTTGAAAATTTACCATCTGCATGCCGTGACGCATATGGCTGTGGTCCACTGTCTTAATCATTCCTAACCACTGATTCCTGGGTAGAGCAAATTTTACCAATTATTTTCATGAGAATTGAAATATCAGTCTCAAAATAGTAATTTTAGTCTAAGAATATCTTTGCATTGATAAAAATAGAAAGATATGAATATACTATCTTGTTGAAATTAGGTTTCTATTGACTGTAGATGTACAAAAATTTCATCCTTTAATTGTACTTGAGTGTAAAGGTTTTGTGAATGATAGTCCTGCTGAACCAAAAAAAAATGTTTTCTTTTCTTCAGAGTAAAATAGGAGTACCAGCACTGTTAATATATAAAAATAGTGAATTAATTGGTAATTTTGTCAATCTAGCTAGCCATTTAGGGGAAGATTTTTATGCTGTAGACGTGGAGAGTTACCTTCAAGAGTAAGTTAAACGAATCTTCCATTTTCTTCTTGAACAGTTTAGATAAAAAAAAAAGAAAGAAGTATAACTACTTGTGTTCACAAGTATCCTTTCTACCAACTGATCCTTGGCCAAAACTCTTAGCATTGATCTTTCCCGGATTATCTGTACTCATTTACAGCTGAGTCAAGTGTTATAATGAGGGAAAGGTGACTTATTCAAGTTCACCAGACCAGTTCATAGTGCAAAAAGAACTGTTGAGCGAACTTGCCAACAATTTGATCTGTATTGGCTTAAGAATTCATCATTAACATATTTTACATGAAAGATCGCTTGGGAAAATTTTTTGAGTGAGTTTAAAATGTGCTGTGTATCAGGGAAACTAGCGCCACTAGCGCCACTAGCTTTTTGCAGGAAGTCTATTATCTTGTGTAGAGCCAAATTTATGAGTTGCTTTAAAGGAGCACCTTCACTATTCGTTCAACCAATCATACCTATGTTTCAGAAACAGGAATTGTTTTAGCTTACATAATCAGTAATAGTGTTCACAGCTCATCGTTGAAATTTGAGCCTTCAATCCCATGTGTTTCCATAATTATTCACATTTGAAAGTTAAAAATTCGACTAAAATTTTAGCGAGACTATGCCATATATAGAAAACACATATATAGAAATAGACAGTGAAATTTCTAGTTTGAGGTATACTTGAAGGGATTATGCGATTTTCATGCATTTTAGTACTTCTTAAGACTAATAAAGTACAATAAAGACCCAAATCAATCCCCGAAAATGCCGACTGTTCCCCTTCAAGTCACTAAATGTAACTGTTTGTTATTGTAGATATGGGTATTTACCAGATAAAGATTTAGGTGCTCCTGTTATACGTGATAAACACACTGGTCAAATACGTGGCTCACTACCAAGTGATAATCACTATGATAGTGGTAGTGACTTTGATATCGACTAAACTTTTGGGTACATCAAAAAAACTTGTTCATGGTAACTTATTATCAAATACATGTTCATCTCCATTTCAACTGGCATTGAAAATTCATATGTTATAGCGAAATTTTATTGATAGTGATGTAACAATCACTTCTGATAGTGGTAGTGATTTTGATATCGACTTTCATCAAAGAACTTGTTCATTCTAAAGCACCTATCTTCATTTTCATTTCAACTGGCATTCGAAAATAATGATAAATCTTTATTTCATAGCGATGATAGCATACATGATAGCACAATTTTATTGATAGCAATGTGATAATCACTTTGATATCGACTTTCATCAAAGAACTTGTTCATTGTAATGCACCTATCAAATACATGTTCATTTTCATTTCAACTGGCATTCAAAAATGATAGCAAATCTTTATTTCATAGCGATGTGATAATCACTTTGATAGTCGAAGTGATATTTATATTTCTGATTTATATTATGATTTCCATCAGAAAGAACATTCAAATTTTTTATTATAACAATTTGATGAATGCATATCACTGATAAAGATTAAGTGATTTTGATAGTGATTACCACTATAGTATTAGTGATTTTCATGTATTCATCTTAGTGTGGTCCTATAGTGTTTTTCCTGTTAGGATCTTTTTGTTATTGTCAATAGGGGAAGTAATCATTGCTCTATGAATTTCTTTTGCTCATAACTTGAATAAAAATAAAAGTTTCCATTATAACATTCAGTGTTTACTCTGCATTTACACTACACTACACTATATGCATATTTTAAGAAAATACACACTAAATTATCAAATAATCCCACTTTGAAATGGAGATTTTTAAGTTAAACACTGTACATGTATTGTAAAATTTAAAGACTAGCAGTGTCATCATCATTGTTAAGAATTTTATCATACTGAATGTGACAGTGCAATAAAGAAAAAAATTGAATATGTGTCTTCTCTACCAAATTCTTGTGAAACAACTTTATTGAGGTCACTATTAATGTGCTTTTTTGTAAATTATTGCTGTATGATGTTATCATTGCTGTATAATGTTATACCGGTAATATAATATTATAATATAATGTTATCTTTGCTGTATAATGTTATACCGGTAATATAATATTATAACATAATGTTATCTTTGCTGTATAATGTTATACCGGTAATATAATATTATAATATAATGTTATCTTTGCTGTATAATGTTATACCGGTAATATAATATTATAATATAATGTTATCTTTGCTGTATAATGTTATACCGGTAATATAATATTATAATATAATGTTATCTTTGCTGTATAATGTTATACCGGTAATATAATATTATAATATAATGTTATCTTTGCTGTATAATGTTATACCGGTAATATAATATTATAATATAATGTTATCTTTGCTGTATAATGTTATACCGGTAATATAATATTATAATATAATGTTATCTTAGCTGTATAATGTTATACCGGTAATATAATATTATAATATAATGTTATCTTTGCTGTATAATGTTATACCGGTAATATAATATTATAATATGATGTTATCATTGCTGTATAATGTTATACCGGTAATATAATATTATAATATAATGTTATCTTTGCTGTATAATGTTATCATTGCTGTATAATGTTATACCGGTAATATAATATTATAATATAATGTTATCTTTGCTGTATAATGTTATACCGGTAATATAATATTATAATATAATGTTATCTTTGCTGTATAATGTTATACCGGTAATATAATATTATAATATAATGTTATCTTTGCTGTATAATGTTATTATAATATAATGTTATCGTTATATAATGCTATCGTTGCTGTATAATGTTATCATTATAATATAATGTTATCTTTGCTGTATAATGTTATACCGGTAATATAATATTATAATATAATGTTATCTTAGCTGTATAATGTTATACCGGTAATATAATATTATAATATAATGTTATCTTTGCTGTATAATGTTATACCGGTAATATAATATTATAATATGATGTTATCATTGCTGTATAATGTTATACCGGTAATATAATATTATAATATAATGTTATCTTTGCTGTATAATGTTATCATTGCTGTATAATGTTATACCGGTAATATAATATTATAATATAATGTTATCTTTGCTGTATAATGTTATACCGGTAATATAATATTATAATATAATGTTATCTTTGCTGTATAATGTTATACCGGTAATATAATATTATAATATAATGTTATCTTTGCTGTATAATGTTATCATTGCTGTATAATGTTATTATAATATAATGTTATTATAATATAATGTTATCGTTATATAATGCTATCGTTGCTGTATAATGTTATCATTATAATATAATGTTATCGTTGTTGTATAATGTTATCATTATAATATAATGTTATCAATATTGTAAAGTGCTATAATATCATTAATTTATAACATTATCATTATTGTCATTAATTGTATGGCCTTTGTCATTATATTCTGTTGTCATTGCTTATCATTATGTTTTCATTATTGTATAATGTTATCATTATTGTATATTAAAATATATTTAAGTGTCTACACTGGTTGGAGATGGTGACATTCTCATTATTGATAATGAATTGAAAACAATGATTGTGATATAGCCTTTTTATTATTGCAAAATAGAACAAAGCCCTCTTTAAAGGAATAATCGTCTAAATATTTGATAAGAAACAGCTGATATTTCCTATCCATATTACTTAAAGTAAATTCGAACACCTGGTTTCCTTACAATACAAGGGCATTACTAAACCCCTTATTGGTTATCATATCCAACAAGAATGTTAATTTCTACATTACATTTTTGTTTTAATTGTAAGGAAACCTGGTGTAGAATACTATATCCTGAATAGTAACATAATAGCAGACTTTAAGCAATTCCAGCTGACATAACAAATATTAAAGATGACTATTCCCTTTTAATATATAAATATTTAACATATAACAACCCACATAATATAAATCACATAACACATGTCAGTAACATAACATACTTCATTGTTATATATTACTGTCTGATTACTATGATTCCCCAATTTCAATTTGTTATTCTATGGTGTTATGTATTAATTGGATTATAAAGATCTTTTCTCAAATTTTTATGCATATCATAGACACTGATAACATCAATATGCACCATTCGAATTTTCAATCAGATGTCTGTGGTTCCTGCAATTCCACTAAAACTCAGTGACTTCACTAATTGCAAAGGGACTTGTGTGATACAAGATTATTATGCAATTAGTGACATTGTATGCATTTTGCGGAATTGCAAGACCCACAGACATCTGAATTGGAATGGTGCAAATTGATGTTATCAGTGTCCACAATATGCATAAAATTTTTTAGAAAACCTCTTAATACATTTCGCCTTTCAAGCCTTTCTTGAAAGCTTCATAAAGCCTGAGATTCTGAGTAATTTTTTTTTGATTTGATCATTTAATAATTGAATAATTAAGAAACCACAGTAACCAGGCAGTAAATCACATTATATCAACAGCACATTCATTTTGCTTTATCAAAACAAATTCTTTCGATACTCGGCTTCAAAAATTTGTAAATCTGTAAATTAATGGAATGCATTCAGATGTAAACTCAAAAAAAATTTAGCCTTCATTCTCCATCATAACTGTTTCTGTTGGCCTTACAATCTGATTGCACAAAAATATAAGTAATTATTGCAAAAGAAGTAAAATAAACCATTAAATCTAAGAAAGAATTTGCCCTTTTAAATGCAATGAATGGAGTTTTACGTCCTACTTTTCTGCACCATGAAGACAATAAACTATAATTACCGATCAAAGCAAGAATATACTTCTATAATGCAAAAATAACCCACGACATTAAGAATTTTGTCATGTTTTTAATTTAGTATTTACAGGGTTTCTCAATTGAATTATTTCTATTATTAATTGATTATTGATTGGTAGTCTGTCATTGAGAAATGATCTCAGTTTGGAATCGATACACAGCACTATAAAATCACTATCATGGAGCAATTGGATTTCAAAATATAAAAAATTATTAAAAGAATAGGTCATCTAATTACTGTTATAGCTGGCACTATTCAGAATGCAAATCTGGCACCCGCTTTGTCTCCAATTAGTTAAATATCTGCCATCTAAGTCTTACAACAGTCACTGTAGGTAGCCATATTCTCCCACTGATTTGTCAGATATCACTGTTTTTATTAAATTGTGCACATACCAGATGCCAGATTTTCATTTTGAAAAGTGAATATTATAAATATTATTCAGATGTCTATTTCTTTAAATAAGACAAACTCTTATTCTTGATATATTAATAGTTAGATATCCTCATCCCTTTAGAATACTAAAGATGAATTTTTTTTGTTTGAGCTTTACTCTACACAAATACTACTTTTATCAAGTGAAATACACCATGTATAAAGTAAAATACATCTTATATCAAGTGAAAGTTTACTTTTATCAAGTGAAATACACCATGTATAAAGTAAAATACATCTTATATCAAGTGAAAATTTACTTGTATCAAGTGAAATACACCATGTATTAAGTAAAATACATCTTATATCAAGTGAAAGTTTACTTGTATTAAGTGAAATATGACTTATTGCAAGAAAACTTTGACTTTCAAATGAAATACAACATGACAAGTGAAATATGACTTAAATTGGTGAAATACTACTTACATCAACTTAATTTAATACTAGATAATATGTAAAGTGAAATAAACTTATGACCAAAACATGATTTGTTTTAAGTGAAATACTGCTAAAACTTACATCAAATGAAGCACTACTTATAATTGAAATACCATAAAGTAAAATAAAATTAATATGACCCATGAATGAAACATTACGGAAATTAAGTGAAATACAGCTATTTGTTAATGAAATACTACGAGTCGAAAAATGTCCATGATAATTCTAATATAACACAAAATCATTGAAATGCAGCTTATATCAAGTCAACTACTAGAAATGCAGCTTATAGTATAGCAAGTGAAATACAGCTTATATCAAGTTAAAAACAGCTTTCATCAAGTTAAAAACAGCTTTCATCAAGTTAAATACAGCTTTTATCAAGTGAAATGCTACTTTTATATCAATTAAAATACAGCTTCTAGTAAGTGAAATACGCTTCTATCAAGTGGAATACAGGTTATATCAAGTTAAATACAGCTTTTATCAAGTTAAATACAGCTTTTATCAAGTTAAATACAGGTTATATCAAGTGAAATACAGGTTTTATCAAGTGAAATACAGCTTATATCAAGTGAAATACAGGTTTTATCAAGTGAAATACAGCTTATATCAAGTGAAATACAGGTTTTATCAAGTGAAATACAGGTTATATCAAGTGAAATACAGCTTTTATCAAGTGAAATACAGCTTTTATCAAGTGAAAATGATTTTTTTTATATTAATTAGAGATGAAGTGGGGGTAAAATCTGGGGCACAAATGATTTCCCTAGCCATGCACCCCTCTGTAAGCAAATGTCTCTGAAAATTGACAACAAAACATATAAAAAATAAAATCTTTAGATATGAACACCATGGAATGTACACTGATATAAGAAAAACCCTTAAACATCTAGAAATACCTTATATTCAAAATCCTTCTAACCAATAAGTAAAACCAAGGGAGTTTCAATGCATAAAAAGATTTTACCTTATTTCAAACATCCCAGCTTTTGGTTGTACTGTAAATGAATACAGAAATGCTTTTCTAACCTCTGTATGTGTAAGGGAAAATTTCCTGTTTGAAGAAATTCTAGCTCTTAGATTGGACATAAAATTCAAAGTGTCAAACGTAGTGAACAAGTGTATATATTCATCAGTTGGACCAGGTGCAATGACTAAAGATTAGAATCACTATATAAGACGATACCATACTACCACAGATATCTCACTACACTACACATACAAAGGTTAGAAAGTCTCTGTTTAGTGAAATATTATGATCTATGATATGCTTGCATGAGAAATGGTTTTGTTTTGAAAAATCTGAAAGTCCCATGATAGCAATTTATCAAGCAAGGTTTTAACAGATGTCATCCAGCCAGAGTCTGCGTTTTTAGCAAAAAAAGGGGTCAAGAATTTAATTACTCCTGAGGAGTTCAACTAGAATGAAACGAGTTCAGTCGTACACACCTAGCCATGAACCTGTTTTTATAATTAGGTAAGATTTTACTTAAATTTGAACAAGCTATTACAGGTGCATATCTGATTAAAAGCAAAACAAATGTACCAATTTATTTCGCAGTAGCTCAGTGAATTAGGGTTCAATCACGGCATAGGTCGAGATAATACCTTGAGATTTTTCAACTCAGTTTCCCCCTGTCAGTGATGTAGATAAGAGGGGCTGACATGGCAAAAGCGTCTAATCGTTCGGACGGGACAATAAACCAAGGCCCTTTTGAGGCAAAATTTCCTTCATTGCATCCTGCATGGCATTGCCTGTCTTCATTAGCCTACATCGTTCAGAAAAGTAGGATGTAAAACTCCATTCATTTCATTGTTTTTATTCCTTAGGACACAATGTTCCTGGTATTAAACGTCAAATTTTACCGTTTCTTGATGTGAGGGGAATTATGAATTTGAGTAAAATTCCCTGGAGCCAGATCATGTGTGTTCTAGATTTCAATTTCCCAAATTGAATCCACAGTAATAAGATCTGATTAAACAAAATGAGCTTGGTACATCCTATTTTTTCTGCACCTGAATTGGCTAATAAAGGACACTATGCAGTATTCAATGAGGAAAATTTTGCCACTTGTTATTATATGTAATTACTATTAAGTAGAAAAAAAGGGTTATAATAACTTTCCAAAGAGTTGCATAATATAAATAATAGCTAGTTTTTCTCACTCTGGCTGGACAACATCTGCCAAAATCAACTTTAAATGGGTTGAACCCTGATTTTTGAATGTCTAAGAGGCATTGCACTGAGTGATAAATCTACCTTGATGAAAAAAATGGACGAAATTAAGATGAAATCTAAACCTTTTCTGTCAGAAGTTTTTCCACATCCTCTTCTTGTGGTTTTGACGTTGATTTCACCTGATCCAATTGATGCTGGGCTTTCATTTCTCTTCGCTTGACTTCAGTATAACTACTGGAACCAAACAGCACGATGGCATTACTCAGCCACCATAAAGATGGTTTGATATCCTGGTCCTTTATACAGGCAATAACAGTCTGAGCACAAGCTTTAGCTGTTCCCGATATATTATGCGTTAGAGGTGATGTGAATTGAATTTGAAGTCCCGTGGCGTATCCGATGGCGAACCCACAGATACCAGCAGCAAACATGATCAACCAAAAGTAAGAATTAAAAAGTTTGGGAAAGGAGATAATTGTTCCCACTTCTCCAAAAACAACAATCAAAGGAATGAATAAAAATGAAGCATTGAGATTATTGTACAACGATAATCTCCAAACGTTGTTATCTACTACAGGCAACACTTTCTTGGTGAAAATAGAATTAAGTGCCACGAAAGCACTGGCCATCACACCAAATATTACACCAACAACTGATAGAGATCCTGTAAAAATATAAATCATGGAAAATTATTCAGCTCAGTATCATTAGAGGACAAGATATTGAAAAGAAATGGACATTGATAAGGCTCTTGGTGGGGTTAATGAAAATGAGAAAGTTCAGCCCAGATAGTTATAGACCTTCTTCACATGTCGGCCATATTGAAACAAGAATGAGGCTCATAATTCCATATTTTCAGTTGAATTTTGCCTTCACAAATTTCTGAGAAAAGGCAGTTTTAAACCCCTTTTCTCACTGTTGATTAGGTGTTTAGTGATCTTACATAGCCTATTCCTTCATATGACGTAGCCATCTTATCAATGGATGACATAATTTGCGTTAAAAGTGTCTCAAAAACGAGACATGAATATTTGTCATATACAACTGTGGTCTCGCTAAGTATGATATTCGAAATGATTTCCTTGGCATAATTCAAAATATATAAGAGTCAAAACTACAAGTTATTGTTAAAAAGAAAAGCAAAGGAAATTTGACCTTTGGTGGATAAGGTTATGAATTATGCATAAGTCTGTTTCAAGCATTAAACTAGCAGCGGTGTTACTTGAAGATCTTCAAATTAACCAAATACATACCCGTAGTGCCCTCTTGGTTAACACCCAGAGAAAAACCAGCAATGATGATAAAACAACAGGCAATAGCTTTTCCTGATGTAGATTGTCCTAATATCAAATAGGTAAACACCTAAAATAAAACATAATTTTAAACAACTTATGTTTTGATATCATTAGTATTGATAATGACACAACTCTTTTTTTTTTGAAGATTCCAAATTTACAACAGCTTCACAATGTCAAGCTATTATGATCTTCATACTTATACCTTGACTGCAACAGTCACCTTTCTTGTATCATGGAAGTTTGTAAATGAAGCAATCTGATTGGATTGTAGGCTAGTGAAAAGAACCAATCAGATGCCTCGACAGTCTGTGAACACAAAGCCATAATGTTAACAAATACAAAAACTTCCTGAAATTTCTTTATATCAGTTCATTGATTTTCCAGGATTTTTAAACCCCATTGTCACCTGGATAAATTGGAATGAAGGATGATGACACATCAGCAAACTTGCAAATTTCGACCAATATAAGACCCGACATATGCCATTCCAACACTCTAGCCAACTGGGCTACAGCCAGTCCTCACTCGTTTTAATTGAACCTCAATCATACTTACCACATTAAAGACAGTTGTTAAAGATCTTCCAACAAAATAAAATGCCACTCCAACATACTTTAAACATAAGTTGTTGAACGATATCATACATACAAATACAACAGACAGTGGTAATACCTGGAAATACAAATACAATAGACAGTGGTAATACCTGGAAATACAAATACAACAGACAGTGGTAATACCTGGAAATACAAATACAACAGACAGTGGTAATACCTGGAAATACAAATACAATAGACAGTGGTAATACCTGGAAATATAAATACAACAGACAGTGGTAATACCTGGAAATACAAACAAAACAGACATAGGTAATACCTGGAAATATAAACAAAACAGACAGTGGTAATACCTGGAAATACAAATACAACAGACAGTGGTAATACCTGGAAATATAAATACAATAGACAGTGGTAATACCTGGAAATACAAATACAATAGACAGTGGTAATACCTGGAAATACAAATACAATAGACAGTGGTAATACCTGGAAATATAAATACAACAGACAGTGGTAATACCTGGAAATACAAATACAATAGACAGTGGTAATACCTGGAAATACAAATACAATAGACAGTGGTAATACCTGGAAATATAAATACAACAGACAGTGGTAATACCTGTAAACACAAATACAACAGACAGTGGTAATACCTGGAAATACAAATACAATAGACAGTGGTAATACATGGAAATATAAATACAACAGACAGTGGTAATACCTGGAAATACAAATACAAAAGACAGTGGTAATACCTGGAAATACAAATACAACAGTGGACAGACAGTGGATATACAAATACAATAGACAGTGGATATACAAATATAATAGACAGTGTAATATAAAAAATGTGTCCCTTTTGTGATTGCACAAAAAATTAAAAAAACATATGAGGAGCCTACTTACTGCTTTACATATTTCAAAATTCACTTGAAACGGTGGGACTTTGACTATATTGGGTATGACTTTTCCTAATGCACTGAAGAAGGCTATAAAAACCACACTTAAAGCACACTGGAACCATGTCACAAAGAAAGGTGCCTCCAACTGAAAAAAAAAACAAAGGCATAGAGAGTGAATTGAGAAAGATTGGCAAAATAGCAGTGTGATTTGACAATTTCATAAGCTAACTGTTTGCCAAAGCCATCATGCAGACCTATTTAGCAAATCTGTCCAAAATGGTATCAATGTACTAATATATAATGGCTATACAAAAATCAAATCAAATTTTGCAAAAGATTGCACTAATTACAATAGCAACACCATGCTGTGTACAATGGAATTTTTTCAGCCTAGACTTTCCGAATTTCCACAAGTTTTGGTATCTTTAACAAGCACAGTCTGTAGGTAGGTGACAGACTAGCCCAGACCTTTTTACTAAATCTAAAAAAACAGTCTCAAAAATCCTATCCAGTGACACAATGAACAAGTTCAACGATGGCCATTGAATGCATACCAATATATTAGTATTTAAAGGGATAGATGCAGAATTTTAGGGGGTTGATTTGAGTCTTGAATATATGTAAATAGTCTTAAGAAGTATTAGATATGTTCAAAAATGGCATAATTCCTAAAAATACTTCAAACTAGTAATTTTACTCGCTATTTCTATATAGGTCCTTTCTATAAGCTTTTATCACAGAGTATGTTGTCATTTTAACGCAGATAATTCTGGATAAACATGGATTTGAAGGCTCAAATTTTGACATTGAGTAGTGAACACTATTAATGGTTAGCTCAGCAAAAAAGATTCCTATTTCTGAGAGCATGATTGGGATATAGAAATGGAGCACCTGTCCCTCTAAGTAGAAAATCAAGAAAAGGTTCTGTTTTTTTTAACTTTAAGTAGAAAAACGTACCTTTAAATCTGGACTACTCAATAAATACTTGTTTAGAAACACCATAGATATAGAAATAATCCTGAAACACAAAGTTAAGTCAATTTAAGACTATAGCAGTGGAATAGCTCAGTCAGTAGAGAGTTGGATTGTTGTCTGCTAATTGATTAGGTGCCTTGAGTCTGCATCTTCCTCAGAATCAAGAACAATTCTGATGCCTGAGCTAGTGCTTCCAAGAGTCAGCCCTGTATCGGCCTGGTGGCAGCTATCAATACTGTTTAGAAGTCCATCTTTAAAATCATATAAAAATAAGCAGTTAAATTGGATTTACCATCAAAAGTTCCAAACAACAAACGAAAATATGCATGATTCTTACATGGAAATAACACACACAAACGTAGTTCATAGCCATTTTGAATCTTTTCCTCAACTTAATAAATCAAATCTTTAAAAAGACTATTATATTTCACCTAAGTCTTCAAACCATATTTCAATCCATTTCTAAACCTTTAAATGTGATTTGAAGGCTTAGTTGAAATATTAAAGCCGTTTTGCAATATTTGCCTCATTTTGTCGAGAAGTGATTCAAAATGGCTGTGAACCATGTAGTTTTGTATGGGTGAAAAGGAGTTAGTGAAAAGTGATATCTATATCTGAAGTGGAGTTCTATCAGCTGACAAACAAAACTATTAGGTGATTTTTTCCCTTTAATTTTGATATTTGGAAAAACATTTTTATGGTTTTTGAGAAACAAGGTCTAGGTCCAAATTGTCAAACCAAACCAAGATATTTTTTCATTTTAGGCTATGGCTTAAAATGCAATTTTATTGTTATCCTTTTGGCTATGAACTATATAACATTTTAATCTTATTCATTTTAAAGGGTGCAATTCTAAAAAGATGCATTCTTATTTTTAATTTATCTGGGATAATCCCTTTAATCTGGTTCTCTATCCACAGCTGGTATATCAAGAATACAAACAATACGATTGGATTACACTAAAGTCACTATAAAGTTTATGATTGGTTGTAAGCTTATAATATTTAATTACCGAAAGGCTTTTGACATGTTAATAAAACACTGAATAAAACACTAAACAAAAAACACTGAATATTTTTTTAATGAGCCACTAGATTAACTAACTAGGGCTGGGTATCGATTACCAAATTCAGATCGATTATCAAAAATATTTTCTGATCAATCGAAATATTCAAAGTGAGAAATCTTCTAAATACTAAATATAGATCAAAATGTTTAATTCCATGGGTTATTTTTGTGTCATAGAAATATTATCATTGCTTTGATCGGTTATTATAGTTTATTGTGGGTAAGTGATGTGCTGAAGGTAACCTATGTGGAAGAGATTATTACTTGTTAACAGGTACATGGAAGATAATATATAACGTTGATATTTAATCGATTATGAAATCAAATAATCCTTAATCGTAATTATAAATTCTTAGAGACGATAATCGATTATTTCATCTAGCTCTTAAACTAACTGAGCACTTATAATTATAATAGGTCGACCATCATGAATGATAAAGTTCACAGTATTCTTTTGTGTACCCTCATGTGGTATTGAAGGCCAAAGTCTGATGCACACCGGTGGCTGAACAAAGGACAGAAAGCTCTACAAAGTTGAGTCTGACCTTTGTTGCTTCAAAATTTTCTACTTGACTGACTTGTCTTTCATTTTTTTTAAGCTTCGGTTAGTGGCCAAGAATTCCCATAGTTTCTCATCAATGTTGCATTAAATTTTTTAGAGGGATTTTTTCCAGTACTGGTACACTTATAACGACCATCTTGTAAATATACCACACCTTATCAGAAACAGAATGCACCAGTAAAAATTTAGAGGGAGTGGTCTGTCAGTAATATTATCTACATTTCCAATATAGTAATAAATATTTATCACTTTTATATCAACTGGTAAAATAAGTATAAGACTGTATAAGTTTAACTGTATTTTTGAGACGCACAAGAGACACCCCCATTGCCAGGAATGAAAAGGTGCTGGGGCTTAGATTTTGTACTCAGAAAATGTGAAGAATTAAAGGCCTATGGGACACATTTCTGACAATTTTGAGGTGCCAAAATCGTATCAATATCTATATCTTTTTGATTTCGTACAAAGACACTGAAGTAAATGGATCAATCTCTGCTGAACTGAAGAAGGCTTTGCTTGGTCCAAGCCTCCAGAGACCCCACCCTAACAACGGGGCTGTCAGGAGGTGCTGAGTGCTCATAGTATAGGGACAATACCTGTTGTCTGATGAGCGAGTCAGTGTAAGTAGGTGAGCAAAAGAAAGTAAAATATTTTAAACTTATCAATAATACACTCACCAGTAAAATGCCACGACAGCAGCGATCTTCAACGATTTAGATGCAAACGACTCCATTACCTTTCTCTTACCATCAACGTAGGAAAATGATTGCATGCCCCAAAAACTTCACGCTTGACTAACTTCTATCTTGTCATCCACAACAAAAACAATGTATTGGATACGTCAACAATTTTCAGATTTATCGGACGTTGTCGTAAAATCATAAATTTATGTGTTGTTTTGTGATATACCAGCATTATAAAGACATCTCATTTTATTCCATGACCTAAAAGTTTAGATCTACATAAAATGTAAAAAAAAAACAATAAGTTTGATTTGTATCAATGGAAACCAATTTTACGACAGTCAAAAGAGAATGCGGGTTGGTCCAGTTACTGTAATGCACCGAAATACACAGTAGTTAAGGGCTCAAATATCGACGATGATCTGTGAACACTATTACTGATTAGCTTAGCTAAGAAATTCTCGTTTCTGAGACTATGGTACGATTGGTAAACATATGGCGCACCTGTCCTTGTAAGCAACGCGTTGGATAGGCTAGTCAGTAGATTATTCGAACAATCAGTGGTTCATCTACCATATAGGGACTGGTTGAACCAAGTCCAAGTCTCATCCTTCACGAGGCTCCTATCCCAGAAAAAATACAAAATTAAAAAAAAAATGTACCTAAGTAGCATTATCTGTAGACTAAAAATATTTATATCTTCCATTGAAAGGCATTAAACTAACTTACAGAAAAAAAATTCCTTCGGGGTAGGGACAGTTCACACACACCCTGCCCACCCTAAAAGCAACGGAACGATTGTACTGTTCCTTAAGGCACATGCAGACCCCGTGAAGTCATGTCTAGTTTAGTTGACAAAGGTAATTTCATAACTCTTTCTTAAAATCATCTTTTTTGGTAAGATCTTAAAGATTACCTTTGGTATCGCTGCAAAGCTGAACCATTAATCAATCCATGAAAGCATTTCCGGATATATTACTCTTTGTCCCTATGCCCACACGGTAGACTAAAATTCCTATAGTCGAGGGGTAATCTTTAATTAAGGGAGTTTTACAGAAACGAAAAATATACCCTCGACTGCACTGTGGTGCCATGTATTGTGTGGCATATAGGGAAAAAATTGCCTTTCGCAAGCCCCCCATGTCGGCTCCCTGGACCTTCATCACTGGCAGAGGGCGCCAATTTCAAAAGTTTTTGTTAAAGCGTAGAGGTAAAGAATATGTCATCATAGGTTTCTCAATAAATCGTCATAGCATATAAACACTTTTGATCGACTGAATAAAATTCAATTTGTAGGACGATGATTGACGTCAATGTACATAAAGAAACTGAGGTATTAAATGACTTGCAATATAGGGAGTTTACCAACTGTTAAAGAAGGACCGTTACAAAGAGACCTGAGGTAAACCTTGTGTACAGCAATCGTCAGGATGCTTCTACAGTTGGTATTATTTTTAATTTTCAGTACGTATACCTTTTTTATGTGTTGGTTACTTATAAATTGGCGATGGAGTTTACTGCATATTTTTATGTTTTAAGTGGTCTAATGTAAAGGGCTAATGCAATGAGGTCAACTTCGACAGGTCGCAATTTTGCTATATCATCGTGAATAAATTTTCAGTCAAAACGATATAACGGTTTTAATAGCAAAATCTTACACCTTTCTATAGTTCATATTGTTTTTTATTGTCTGAAAATAGTTATGGTTGTTTTTTATTGTCTGAAAATAGTTATGGTTGTTTCATATTGTCTGAAAATAGTTATGGTTGTTTCTTATTGTCTGAAAATAGTTATGGTTGTTTTTTATTGTCTGAAAATAGTTATGGTTGTTTTTTATTGTCTGAAAATAGTTATGGTTGTTTCATATTGTCTGAAAATAGTTATGGTTGTTTTTTATTGTCTGAAAATAGTTATGGTTGTTTCATATTGTCTGAAAATAGTTATGGTTGTTTTTTATTGTCTGAAAATAGTTATGGTTGTTTCATATTGTCTGAAAATAGTTACAGTTGTTTTTTATTGTCTGAAAATAGTTATGGTTGTTTTTTATTGTCTGAAAATAGTTGATGGTTGTTTTGATTGTCTGAAAATAGCTACGGATGTTTGTATGGTCTAAAAAAATTTCTTATAGGTGTGTATGGTGCAGGAGGACAGCTATTCTCCATGTGTCCGGAAGAAACATTAGCTGAAATTGATACCTGTATCAGCAACGGTGCTGATTTTAATTCTCTGTCTTCATCATCTGTGTTACCATTTTATATCAATCCAACGAATGCATTGTGCAAGTAAGTCAAAATTATCTCATATGGTTACTTAATGGAATCATAGCAGAGAAATTTGTAAGTTTGCTTGAATGGACCATGGTTCCCATTTCACCTCAAACCAATACAATAATTCTAACAATGTTGGCAAGACCTTTTGTACCGGTTACTTCCCTTGAGATGTGAAATTGGTGACGAAATACCGTCTCCAGTATCGACTCAAATGAAGTGATCAATTCTATACGATACCGACATGACAAAGCAAGTTTCTTTAAAAAAAAAATTAAACTCATTTCCTGGTTGTCAAGATTAGTGTACCTCTGTCGTAGACAAAGCATTCAGTCGTTCGGTCGGGACAATGAACCCTGGTCCCGATCCCTCTGACTTCACCTTGTTAATTTGGAATTTTCTGGACCAAGTGGGCTAATGAAGACGGGCAACGCCATGCAGGGTGCAATGAGTAAAATTTTGCCAGGACAGCGGCATGAGCCTGCTCTTTTTCGTTTTCCAACTCTCGGGGGGATTTTTAACGTGCACAGCCTGTAGCACACGGGGCCTCGGTTTATTGTCCCATCCGACTAGACGCGTTTCCAATGTACCTTGTTAGTTTGAAATCAAAAATAAGTGGGAAAATGTCGGTTACAAGGCAGAATTCCAATCACAAATTTCCATCTGCTAGCTCGTCTTCAATCGTAAGAGACTAAGAGGGGCAACAGCGTAGGATGTTTACTCCATTTCGTTCAACTTTAATATATATGTATTTATTTATTGCAGTAAAAAGAGCGAGCTTAACTCAATGATGAAATGTGTTTTTGACGTATTCCTAAAATGTTTGGATAACAGTTTTAAAACTATATTTCCTACAAATGAAATGAACGTGAAAACTGTGAATTATCTATGTGACCGAATCAACTGTAAGTAATAATAAAATTAAGCTCGTACAAATAATACAAAATAATCAACCTAGACAATTTCGGAAACTATATATACTATATATACACTAATCATAGTTATTTCTAAGCCGTTAAAAATGATTTGAAGGCTTTGTTGAAATATTATTGACTTTTAAAAAAAAAATCGACTTATTAAGTCGAGGAAGAAATTCAAAATGGTCGTGAACTACGTTCGTGCGTGTGTTATTTCCATGTACGAATCATATAGTTTCGTATGGCCTTTGATGATCTACCTCTTCAGAATATTGTTAATGGTCTTGGCTTTGCGCTTTGATGAACATTTGGTGATTGAAATCCTTCTATGGTCTAGGGCAATACGCTTACGGTATTTCACCTCTTTTAATACTATTAAATTTCAGCGTTTAATGTTACTTGTTTAATGGAAACAATTCCAGAAATATCGCCTTGTACTTTTGATGGATTAAAACGACCCTCTAACGCCTCCTTCGAGGATATGAAGGTTTACGTATGTGGGTAAGTTGATTAATGATATTTAAAGGGGCATTCCGCTTTTTTTGTAAAACATTTTAATTATTAAAAACGTTGTAAATTATACCTGAAAATTTTTCTAAAGTATGCTATTTATTAATAAAGCAGTTTGACCCAGTTTCGGTGATTGGCTTTATATTTAGTTGAAATCATAAATAAACGTAGGAGACATATTTCTCTACAATTAGGCGTTTTTTTACTCAAATCCGTGCAGTAGTTTTCAAACAGCTTGCAAAAAGCATAACTTACCTTTTACGTAATGTTTTTAAATAGCTTTGGCGTTAAAAAATTAACAGCTGGATTTTTTTAAGTTAAAACTTTCAGATACGTTATGGGTTACATTTCTATAGATTTTTTTTTTAAGTTTTTACAAATTTAAAAAAAAAAATTGTTCGACTTACAAAAAAAGCGGAATGTCCCTTTAAATATCAAAAGATCTATGCACGTCAAGAATCACGGTAGTGCTGTAGTCCATTTTGCTTCGAGATGATTCATAAGACAAGCATCACGCTACAAGATTACTTAAAGGGACAGATTCGCCATTCTTTTGGCCAATCGTACCTTAGTTTGTGAAACTAGAATTTTCTCGCTAACCTTATCAGGAATAGTGTTTACAGCTCACCGTCGCAATTCCAGCCTTCAACTGATTGTGTAGGCCTATCCATAAATAACACGTTTTAAAGTTGAAATGACGATTCATCTTTTCTTGAGACGACATAATTTATAATTAGAAAAATGATACTTCTAGTTTGGGGTATATTTAAAGGGATTATACAACTAAGGTACGATTGGTCAAACGGATGGTAAGTCTGTCCCTTTAACTTGAATGAAATTTTATATATTTTAATTGGGTTGTATCAGTCACCAGCCTGTTCTCCACAACTATTCACTAAGTGGATTTCAAATGTGCATGAAGTATCAAAAGATTTCTTGTTTTTTTTTCTGTACATTTATAATTTCACAATACCTCGTACAATACAACAACACAGTACGTTTTATTCAAAACTTTTATACAAGGCTATGTCTATCGACGACAAAGAGTAATGAGTTAATGGGAATACTACGGAAGCGTATTAGGGCCATTCATTTTTTTTTTTTTTTTTTTTTTTTGAATTTTCAAGTTAGTATGTTGAATTTTCAAGAATGGCCCAAATACGCTTCCATAGAATAGATAGATATAAAAAATAACATTTACTTGAATTAAAATGAATTTAAACGTAACAAAAGTCAGATAAGTCCTAAATAAATACTATTGAAAATTTACACTGATATAGACACATAGAGCCAAAACTGGTTCAATAAAACCAACAATGGTTATACAATATATTAATATAAATATTACACCATAAATAGACAAGGCAATAATATTTCATGTCGGATTTATTAAAGCTATACTACCTCTGATTGATATTTTTAAACTTAACTAAAAGGAGCCTTTGTTCAAAAGTGGACTATAATTATTTTGTTTAATGGATATATCGTGTTATATAGAGATTCCAACTGGTAAGTCCAACTGATGAATATATACAATTGTTGACTAAGTTTGAGATTTGAACTTTTATGTCCATTATAAGAGGTAATATCCTTTTAAGTTTTTATAATGTAACATGAAAGATTTGTGAAGGTATATTCTGAGTTTTATTGACAATGGTGGGTTTTGTCGATCTTACATTGTTATAGACAATCGATTATAACTTAAATACAATTATATTAATATCTCCGTGTAAACGCTAATACTTATATAAATAGAAAGTAGAATGACTTGGAAAAATACCAGTTTGTCTCACATGTCCATAATTAATTCATAATTAGCTAAATTAAAGAGAATTCAAAAGTCAACGAATGACCGATCAAGAAAGGTCTGTTTTATCCCGACTGTACATACATAGACATTTATGATTGGTTAAAACTCTTAATGATATGCAATAAGAACAGAATGATATGATTAAGAATACACGATAATTCATTAATCAAATAGTTTGCCTAATTTGACACTAAAAAATAAGGAAACCTATTTTTAACTTGTTTCCTTGAATTCAATTAAAAGTCTTCAAAATCTGTAATAATAGGTCCTACTGTTTTGTTAATACTGACAAGAGTGGATGTAGCAAAAATAGCTCTAGCATAATATTTTCAACTGAATTTCAGGTCTCAAAAGAATGGTAAGAAGTGCATCCAGGAGTCAAAACAATTCGATAAATGTCTAGAAACTAAGGAGACGTATCTGGAAGTGACTAAACTCCAGAATCCCGAAGCCTGTGGAGGAGAGACTGGATTTGTCAAAGGAGTTTTTGATGATGGGATAAGTACCGCTACATCTATAGACCAATCTGTTGTACTATTGATAACCATGTCGCTTATGATGTTTATATTTTAAAAATCACTTCGATATACTTGTACATATCGGTTTAATTTTAACGTCATTTGATTGACACGTGAAAAAATTAAAAACAAATTTATATTTCTGTTTTTTTTTTCTTTTAGCTGTTATATAACGACAATCAAAATAGAGGGACTGCAGTCCAGTAATTTCAATATAAATAAACAGTTGCCAACAAAATATGTCAACTGGAGGGCGGACAAGGACTAATGCAAGATAGTCCACATTATAATGTGAGCGATAAAGAAAAACACACACACACCTTCGCCGTTCCAAGAAAACTATACCCTTTTCTTTCTTTAAAGATAGCTTGCGAGGCAAGGTAACATACGCCCACTGGCAGTTGTCAGAAATGATTAAACAGTCTTTAGTGACTAAAGTACGAATTTTCTCATATTGAAGAAATTTTATTAGTTTGAATTCAATTACATCTATATATATGCCAGTTATTTATGCTGAGTAATTCTACAAAATTTTTTAAAATCAATATCAATAACACAGCTCTAATCAAGGGCAAAAAACAACTTTTGACGTGTGTTTACAAAGTCAAGGGCAATAACTCAAAAACGGTTCATCGAAAATATCGTCAAGTTAGAACTTGTTCGAGATCTTATCAATTCCAATGATCACACCAAGTTTCATCAGAATAGGTTGAAAACTGTTGCTTCAATCCTGCTCACGAACTTTGTTTTAACAAATTTCAACGCGTTTTAACGAAGTCAAGGGCAATAACTCAAAAACCGTTCATCAAAAATGCGTCAAGTTAGAACTTGTCCGAGATCTTATCAATTCCAATGATCACACCAAGTTTCATCAGAATCGGTTGAAAACTAGCTTCAATCCTGCTCACGAACTATTTTTAACAAATTTCGACGCGTTTTTATAAAGTCAAGGGCAATATCTCAAAAACCGTTCATCGAAAATATGTCAAATTCGAACTTGACCGAGATCTTATCAATCTAAAGCATCACACCAAGTTTTATCAAAATCAGATGAAAACTGTAGTCTCTATAGTGCTCACAAGAAATGTTGACCGACGGACCGACGGACAGGGGCGACGACAATAAACGACCTCATATTCATTTAACTTCCTTGGTATTCTTGTGAAGATCTTTTGTATGTGTGGGTTATCAATGTATTTCATTGGACCCTTAAAATGGACGAACAGGTTATTAAAAAATAAAATGAGGTCAGGTTGAATTAAATCAACATTGCATAATACCTGTAGATAGTGGGCTAGCAACAGCTCGACAAAGTATAACTTGTTTCAATCAAGATGTTTCTACGATTGATATTTTGTGCTGTTATTGGTATGTATATATCTTATGTTGTTTATTTCTATCTGAAATGAAATACATTTTTCTATTTCTCTCCAATGCTGAAAATCGGTGAAAGGTTTTCCGATCATCACGCAACTCGTAAGATCCTAATTACTTATAAGATCCGTCAAAAATTGTAGCCAACAGAGTGCGTACACGAGATAAATGTCAGATCGACTGTCGCCGTAGAACATTTGGCATTATTGTTCATTGAATGGTCTTCAAGTTTTTGTTTTACAAATTAATTCTCCATTCGAATCTATTTTGAGGGTACATGTTAATTTGTTTAGGCTATATAGAGGTTCATACAATATTCAGATTTCTTCGTTCATAAATAGACTTCAGCATATTTATTATATGAGTAACTATTTACGTTTAAATTAAACGATAATCGAAGTCAATTGAATTTATATTTACATTGATTTCAAACCTTGCTCAACAGACAAGATCGAATTTCTCACTGTTCGACTTATTAAGTCGAGGTAAAGATTCAAAATGGCCGTGAACTACGTTCGAGTGTGTTATTTCCATGTAAGATTCATTCGAAGTTTCGTATGGTTAACACTCTAGAAGGCATAATTCATGACACATTTTGACGAAACTAGGTGAAATTGTCCATTTTCAGTGATGGAACCTATAGAAATTTTACAAATTTTAGTTAATTACTGCTGATTGTTACTATACTGCCAGTAGGCGTATATCTACGATTAATAAATCAACCCCTTTAGCAACAATGCTGATATTGAAGTCAATTTATAAATTAATGTTTTCTTTGATTAGAGGTAGTGATGAAAAATTTGATGGTCTAGAAAATTTTCTTTGAATACTACCCCTCCCCCCTTTCACTTCTACAGCGATTCATGTGTCACCCCACCCCCTCCTCTACCACCACCCCACAGACAATCAAGTCTAGCTTAGATACATAAGGGGTTCCTTAACCAATCAGGCTTGTTTTCTTAAAACTGAAACGGCGTTGGTTCTCGAAACGAAATACATTTACGTTATTTTTATAGGTATATATGGTGTAAATGGACAGTTATCTGAATGTTTAGATAAAATATTAACTGAAGACTGTGACAACAGCAATACATCACCATCTCTGTCACAATTTTACAGCAACCCAACTGAGGAACTGTGTAGGTAAGTGATACTCGTAACATAACTTTACCTTAAAGGGACAGTTTGCAAAATTTCATTATCGAAAACGTTGTAAATTATACCTGAACATATTTCTAAAGTATGCTATTTATATCTATGCATCTTCTTGATCAAACTGAATTTGTTTTAAAAGGATTAATTAAAGATAGCTTGCCAGGCAACGTAACATACGCCCACTGGTAGCTGTCAATGAGTGGCTAAAATATGAATTTTCTCATTTCAAAGATTTTCATTATGCATTTGTAGTGTGAATTTTTTCATATATATTTACATATTTATCCATAAATATATTTATTGTTAGTTATTTATGCTGAATTTTTCACATTTTTCAAAATCAATATTTATAACCCAAAAATACATCAAATCAAATTGGCAAATCATTAGACTCCAATAGACTGACAATAACTCCAAAAGCGTTTATCGAAATTCAAACTAACCAGGACCTCAATATAAACCACACCAAATTTCATTTAAATGAGAAGAAAACTGTTATCTCTATCGTGTTCACAAACAAATTTTGACGTGTTTTTTATTCAAAATCAAGGGCAATAACTCCAAACTGTTCGTCGAAAAATACGCAAATTCTAATCAGTCCACAATCACAGCAGTATAAATGATCACACCAAATTTCAAGTCAGATGAAAACTGTAGTCTCTATAGGGTTCACAAGAAATGTTGACATTTCCATGTGGGCTTATAAAAATGAAGTGTACTGATTGTTAAGTAATCAGCTTAAACTAGTTTTGGTGTTGGGCCTCAGAAAAATTCGATATTTTTAGTTATTTACAACTGGGTGTTTATTTTACTCAAATCCGTACAGTAGTTTTCTTACACCCACCAAAAAGCTAAACGAACTTAAAAAGTTTACGTAAACCTTTTGATTAGTTTCGATGTTAACTAATTAACGGTATTCATAAATTTGATAAAAAAAAATGTTCTAACTTCAAAAAAAGCCTCTGTAAGGAACAATAACAATGTTAATCCTACTGTAATTCCAGCCTTTACTGACTGAATTAAATAGCGGAGTTGGTTTTTTTTTTACCAATGCCAGGATCGGACCACGGAAAAACGGGTGGAGATATATCTGTATGTCGCAACCTCGGACATCAGGGGCCCGGTTTGATATTTGATAATGCTTTTCTTTGATAATACACGCTGCAAAGTGTTTCGTCTTCGAAAACTCCTGCCCACGTGATAGGCATTGCACGTTAAAGATCCATCGAAAATTGGCAGTGAATGGGCTTATCCCACGGTCCTGTAACTCGTCTACATTAACCTCATAAGGCGCAAAATAAACAATGAACGTTTAACTTTATATTTTCATTACAATATTATTAATTTATTTGTTGTATATTATATTTCAGTAAAAAGGGCGAGGTCGTCTCCTACTTGAAATGTGTAAATGACGCCACCAAAAAATGCTATGATGAAAAATTCAAAGCCCTTTTTGCAACAGATGAAATGAACGAGAAAAGTGTGAATTATCTATGTTCCCGAATCAACTGTAAGTAATATAAAAAGTTCTTAGGTATATAACACAATGAACAGAGGATATTCTTGAATAATTTAGAAAACATCAAAATAAAACATTTATATTTGTTTGTTGAATTAAAGACTATTATTTCAATAGGACAGGCCTTATGTTAAAATATTAAATCTATTCACATTCAAAGCAAGCGGTAACTCACTGAGTCACCGCAGCTCCCCGCCCATTTATAGGACACAAAACCCTTCAGCCCCCTCAACTACCACGGCAAAAGCAGTGGCGGAGCCAATTAGGGGGCAGAGGGGGCATGATGATGATTTATGAACTATTATTACTTAACAATTTCAGCGTATAATGCTACATGTCTACAGCGTTCAAATGAAAAATTATCTTCCTGTTTTGGGAAAGGATTAAAAAAATTATCTTCAAATCCTACGTACGATGAAATGAAGGCTTTCGGATGTGCGTAAGTAATTGATCTATATTGTATCCGACGTTTGATAATTTAACGAACTGTGGGATAGGTAAACCCAAAGTTGAGCAATATGACAGCTATCGCAATCCCAAAATTCAGTAGGTCATCAAGAAACTAGTTTTACACGACACGCTTTAATTGTATTATCTAGAGTATTTACGAGCTAAAAATTGAACGCGTTTTCAAGAACAAGGGCAAAAACTCATACTAAATATTTTTCGATTTTTTCTGATTTTCGATAGGGTTAATCCTTGGGGGATTACGAACACTTTTGCCAAGTTTCGTCTGCGCCTTCTAGAGTATTTAAGAGCAGTTCAAGAACAAGGGCAATAACTCAAACTAAATATTTTTTCGATTTTTCTGATTTTCAATAAGGTTCATCCATTGATCATCACGCCAAGGTTTACGAGCAATCGGACGGACAAGGGTGACGACAATATAAAAATACTGCCACACCCCTCCGATTATCAATTTTTGCTGGGCTAGTAAGAGTATAAGAAAAATGTACCATGTTACTTCAGCTGTACGTATAATCGTTTCAGCAAAAAAAAGAATACTAAGAAATGCATTGAAGAGTCAAAAGATTTCGATAAATGTCCAGAAACTAGGAAGTCTTATCTGGAAGTAAATAAAATTACGAATACAGAAGCCTGTGGAGGAGAGGACGGATTTGAAAGCGGAGTTTTTGGTGTTGCGAGTACAGTTATCCCTTTGTACAAATCATTTGCTTTATTGACAACCATAATGACTCTGCAGTTTATATTTGTTTAAATGGACTTGAAATATTTTCCAAACCATGCCTTAAACTGCTTTTGTTCCTTAAAAATGTAAAAAAAAAATTCATTTCAGCTTCACTGCTGTAGTTAAAGGGGCAGTATGCATAATTTTCATTATCAACAATGCTATATATGCTATGCTATGCTATATATATCTATGTTTTTACTTAGTCAAACTGAATTTGTTTTACAGAGTGTACTTATTGTTAAGTAAGCAGTTTAAATTGCCTCAAAAAGACTTGATATTTTGCTTTATAATAAATAGACTACAATCGGGCGTTTTTTTGCTTAAATCCGTACATTAGTTTTCTAATACATACCATAAAGCATAAAAAAGTAAAATAAAGTTTTCGTTAACTTTTTGAATATTTTTAAAGTTAAAAAAAATAACTGCAGGATTTTTATTTAAAGGTCACAAGATTTTGGTGTCTAGTTTTCATAAATTTGAGCAAAGAAAAATTCAAACTATGCAAAAATCATAATGCCCCTTTCCAGGAAAGAAAAAAAAACTAAATTAATAACTGCTTTAAGTTCAGATACGTAGTTTTACCACGGATAGCTTATGAGTCTACTACAATAATTGTCTTGGCGGATGTCGCAATTTAATGCACATGTATGCACGTTTACAGATATGCAATTTCTAATTTAAAGATATAGTACCACTAAGAATGCACAAGCGAAATTTATCTTCTCAAACTTCGCCAATATTTATCTGTGGACAAATCAGGTGTCATAAATATCCAACAGAATACCTCTATAATCCGATACATCCATAAAATAGGGATAATAGTTTGGAAGATAATTACTTAGTTTTATGGATTTATGGAGGAATTCTGTTGTATACTTACGGAACTTGGTTGTTCCAAAGATGAATATTTCCACATTATTGGTCAGCCCAATGTATTAATATCGTTTCCGCTTCATATCACCATAA